GATAAATAACGACCTGGAGATAATAGAGGACTGGGGTGACAAAAACCTTGTACAGTTCAACGCACAGAAAACCCAAGCAGCTCTGTTTTCAAAAAAGAACAGCACCGGTGAGCCAAACATCATGCTATCTGGAAGTGCTGTCACATTACAGAGTCAGTTGAACATCTTGGGGGTTACTGCAGAGACCAACATGTCTTGGCACAATCACGAGGCAGATATTGCTAAAAGGGCGTCCCAAAAGCTGGGGGTGCTATTTCGTACAAGACATCTGTACACACCAAGCCAATTGCTGACACTCTACAAAGCCCAGATTCGACCAACTATGGAGTACTGCTCACATATATGGAGTGCAGCACCCAAACATACCTTAATGCTTTTGAATACCGTGCAAAAACGAGCTATCAAGCTGATCAATGACCCCGCATTTACTCGTAACTTGGATGGTCTCGAACATCGCAGATCTGTGGGCGATTTATCTCTCTTCTACAGGTACTATCACGGAAAATGCTCTGAAGAGTTGGCACGTATGATTCCACCGAGAGTAGCGCCTACCAGGCGAACCCGTCAAACAGGCGGTAACCATGAATTTACTGTCAAACTAGAGGCACCAAGAACCTCATTATATCAGAATTCATATCTCTGGAGAACAGCATCGCTGTGGAATAAACTCCCTGCGACGGTTTTCCCTGCAGGTTACAACCTGAACCGTTTCAAGACCAACATACACCGACATTTCCGCGCACTTGCCGCTTCTCGAGCGTGATAGGACATTTCCTTGCGAGTGCGCATATCCGTAAAAAAAAAAAGATGGGGCTCCTATTAGTTAAAAACCACGTGACCACTCTTAGAATTAATTGTAAGACTGGTAAACTATTTTATATGGTAAGGATGAGTCACTTATTATTTAAAAAATACGTGACCACTCTTAGAATTATCTGTAAGACTGATAAACTATTTTATATGGTTTGGATGGGGCTCTTATTAGTTAAAAACCACGTGACCACTCTTAGAATTATCTGTAAGACTGATAAACTATTTTATATGGTTAGGATGAGTCACTTATTAGTTAAAGACCACGTGACCACTCTTAGAATTATCTGTAAGACTGATAAACTATTTTATATGCTTAAGATGGGGCTCCTATTAGTTAAAAACCACGTGACCACTCTTAGAATTAATTGTAAGACTGGTAAACTATTTTAAATGGTTAAGATGAGTCACTTATTAGTTAAAAACCACGTGACCACTCTTAGAATTATCTGTAAGACTGATAAACTATTTTATATGCTTAAGATGGGGCTCCTACCATTAGTTAAAAACCACGTGACCACTCTTAGAATTAATTGTAAGACTGGTAAACTATTTTATATGGTTAAGATGAGTCACTTATTAGTTAAAAACCACGTGACCACTCTTAGAATTATCTGTAAGACTGATAAACTATTTTATATGGTTTGAATGGGGCTCTTATTAGTTAAAAACCACGTGACCACTCTTAGAATTATCTGTAAGACTGATAAACTATTTTATATGGTTCAGATGGGGTTCTTATTAGTTAAAAACCACGTGACCACTCTTAGAATTATCTGTAAGACTGATAAACTATTTTATATGGTTTGGATGGGGCTCTTATTAGTTAAAAACCACGTGACCACTCTTAAAATTATCTGTAAGACTGGTGAACTATTTTATATGGTTAAGATGAGTCACTTATTAGTTAAAAACCAGGTGACCACTCTTAGAATTATCTGTAAGACTGATAAACTATTTTATATGCTTAAGATGGGGCTCCTATTAGTTAAAAACCACGTGACCACTCTTAGAATTAATTGTAAGACTGGTAAACTATTTTATATGGTTAAGATGAGTCACTTATTAGTTAAAAACCACGTGACCACTCTTAGAATTAATTGTAAGACTGGTAAACTATTTTATATGGTTTAGATGGAGCTCTTATTAGTTAAAAACTACGTGACCACTCTTAGAATTAATTGTAAGACTGGTAAACTATTTTATATGGTTAAGATGGGGCTCTTATTAGTTAAAAACCACGTGACCACTCTTAGAATTAATTTTAAGACTGGTAAACTATTTTATATGCTTTATATGGGGCTCTTATTAGTTAAAAACCACGTGATCACTTTTAGAATTAATTGTAAGACTGGTAAACTATTTTATATGGTTAAGATGAGTCACTTATTAGTTAAAAACCACGTGACCACTCTTAGAATTATCTGTAAGACTGATAAACTATTTTATATGCTTAAGATGGGGCTCCTATTAGTTAAAAACCACGTGACCACTCTTAGAATTAATTGTAAGACTGGTAAACTATTTTATATGGTTAAGATGAGTCACTTATTAGTTAAAAACCACGTGACCACCCTTAGAATTATCTGTAAGACTGATAAACTATTTTATATGGTTTGGATGGGGCTCTTATTAGTTAAAAACCACGTGACCACTCTTAGAATTATCTGTAAGACTGATAAACTATTTTATATGGTTCAGATGGGGCTCCTATTAGTTAAAAACCACGTGATTACTCTTAGAATTAATTGTAAGACTGGTAAACTATTTTATATGGTTAAGATGAGTCACTTATTAGTTAAAAACCACGTGACTACTCTTATAATTATCTGTAAGACTGATAAACTATTTTATATGGTTTGGATGGGGCTCTTATTAGTTAAAAACCACGTGACCACTCTTAGAATTTTCTGTAAGACTGGTAAACTATTTTATATGGTTAAGATGAGTCACTTATTAGTTAAAAACCACGTGACCACTCTTAGAATTATCTGTAAGACTGATAAACTATTTTATATGCTTAAGATGGGGCTCCTATTAGTTAAAAACCACGTGACCACTCTTAGAATTAATTGTAAGACTGGTAAACTATATTATATGGTTAAGATGAGTCACTTATTAGTTAAAAACCATGTGACCACTCTTAGAATTAACTGTAAGACTGATAAACTATTTTATATGCTTAAGATGGGGCTCATATTATTTAAAAACCACGTGACCACTCTTAGAATTAATTGTAAGAATGGTAAACTATTTTGTATGGTTAAGATGAGTCAATTATTAGTTAGAAACCACGTGACCACTCTCAGAATTATCTGTAAGACTGATAAACTATATTATATGGTTTGGATGGGGCTCTTATTAGTTAAAAACCACGTGACCACTCTTAGAATTATCTGTAAGACTGGTAAACTATTTTATATGGTTAAGATGAGTCACTTATTAGTTAAAAACCACGTGACCACTCTAATAATTATCTGTAAGACTGAAAAACTATATTATATGCTTAAGATGGGGCTCCTATTAGTTAAAAACCACGTGACCACTCTTAGAATTAATTGTAAGACTGGTAAACTATTTTATATGGTTAAGATGAGTCACTTATTAGTTAAAAAACACGTGACCACTCTTAGATTATCTGTAAGACTGATAAACTATTTTATATGGTTAAGATGAGTCACTTATTAGTTGGGGGCTCTTATTAGTTAAAAACCACGTGACCACTCTTAGAATTATCTGTAAGAATGGTAAACTATTTTATATGGTTAAGATGAGTCACTTATTAGTTAAAAACCACGTGACCACTCTTAGAATTATCTGTAAGACTGATAAACTATTTTATATGCTTAAGATGGGGCTCCTATTACTTAAAAACCACGTGACCACTCTTAGAATTAATTGTAAGACTGGTAAACTATTTTAAATGGTTAAGATGAGTCACTTATTAGTTAAAAACCACGTGACCACTCTTAGAATTATCTGTAAGACTGATAAACTATTTTATATGCTTAAGATGGGGCTCCTACCATTAGTTAAAAACCACGTGACCACTCTTAGAATTAATTGTAAGACTGGTAAACTATTTTATATGGTTAAGATGAGTCACTTATTAGTTAAAAACCACGTGACCACTATTAGAATTACCTGTAAGACTGATAAACTATTTTATATGCTTAAGATGGGGCTCCTATTAGTTAAAAACCACGTGACCAGTTTTAGAATAAATTGTAAGACTGGTAAACTATTTTATATGGTTAAGATGTCACTTATTAGTTAAAAACCACGTGACCACTCTTAGAATTATCTGTAAGACTGATAAAGTATTTTATATGGTTCAGATGGGGTTCTTATTAGTTAAAAACCACGTGACCACTCTTAGAATTATCTGTAAGACTGATAAACTATTTTATATGCTTAAGATGGGGCTCCTATTAGTTAAAAACCACGTGACCACTCTTAGAATTAATTGTAAGACTGGTAAACTATTTTATATGGTTAAGATGAGTCACTTATTAGTTAAAAACCACGTGACCACTCTTAGAATTAATTGTAAGACTGGTAAACTATTTTATATGGTTTATATGGGACTCTCATTAGTTAAAAACCACGTGACCACTCTTAGAATTAATTGTAAGACTGGTAAACTATTTTATATGGTTTAGATGGAGCTCTTATTAGTTAAAAACCACGTGACCACTCTTAAAATTATCTGTAAGACTGGTAAACTATTTTATATGGTTAAGATGAGTCACTTATTAGTTAAAAACCACGTGACCACTCTTAGAATTATCTGTAAGACTGATAAACTATTTTATATGCTTAAGATGGGGCTCCTATTAGTTAAAAACCACGTGACCACTCTTAGAATTAATTGTAAGACTGGTAAACTATTTTATATGGTTAAGATGAGTCACTTATTAGTTAAAAACCACGTGACCACTCTTAGAATTAATTGTAAGACTGGTAAACTATTTTATATGGTTTATATGGGACTCTCATTAGTTAAAAACCACGTGACCACTCTTAGAATTAATTGTAAGACTGGTAAACTATTTTATATGGTTTAGATGGAGCTCTTATTAGTTAAAAACCACGTGACCACTCTTAGAATTAATTGTAAGACTGGTAAACTATTTTATATGGTTGAGATGGGGCTCTTATTAGTTAAAAACCACGTGACCACTCTTTTGAGTTTTGAAGCTCTTGCCAAAAATTTTGAAATTTATGTATTTTGAAGTTCGAATAAAAATCTTACGAGTCTACTATCATCTAATATATGTCTTTCGGGATTGTTAGTGACAAAAAACCGTGCATTTAAGTGAATATATAGCATTCTGTTGTGATAAGAAAGTGTTCGTAGTATTCGCACGTTGCAGGTTTGCCAGGTGCCATAGGTAGTTCTGTAGTTCGACGAACGCGCCTTGTTGCCGGCAATCATGGTTAATCTTAAGCAATGCAAAAAGTGCGAACAAAGCATAGCAAAGTCTAGCCTAAAGTTGCTATGCGGAGATTGTAGAGGCTATTATCACCTTAGATGTGGAAAAGTCGATGAAGTCGATGCAAGAATAATGATAGAAAACAAGGCGCCGTGGAGGCGTCCCCTATGCGAGAACGACATTGAAATCGACAATCTGCGAAAAACACAACAACGCAAATCCCTTCTTGTAACCCAACAGTCATCTTCGCCATCGAGAAGTACAGAGGAGCTAGAGTTAAAAGAGATGATCAGAGACTTACAGAAGGAAATGCGTGAGTGTAGGAAATCTGTGGATTTTATCAGCCAAATGTATGAGGAAGAAAAAAAACGAACCAAGGCCCTTTCCGTCATGGTAAACGAGATTTCTAGAGAAAATCGGACCTTGAAAGAAGAAGTGGAGAAGCTCAAAAGTGTACGTAACAAGGAAGAGAATAAGAAGCTTGATAAAAACCTGTGTATCACTGGCCTGATAAGTGATGAGAGCGACAAGGAAAATTTGCAAAACAAACTGCACTCTCTGTTTCAGGCTTTAGAAGTGACTGTGCCAGAATCTGAGTACAAAGTTCTTGAAAACATTGAGACAAGAAACGGGATGAAGACTGTTATTTCACTGGAGAATAAGGACAAAAAATACGTCATTCTGAAAGCCCGTGCGAAGAAAGGAAAAATTACGACATCCAGCGTTGGCGTTGGTGACGAAAATACGCCTATCTATATCAATGAAGATATGTCCAAAGATACCTACACGCTTTTTAAAAAGGCAAAGGAACTTAAAAATGTGGATTATAAGCATGTATGGCATCGTGATGGGAAAATCTTGGCGAGGAAAAATGATAATGATAAACCAGTCCACATAAAAAATGAAGCTATGTTAGATGAACTTTTAGGTTAGTCAAATGCATTTCTATCTAAAATATAATTATTACGTAATACTTTTCTGAAATAAAAATGGCGTTTAACGATATACTTGACGACTACCAAAACATCGTAAACTACGAAATTGATGATATTGGCAATGCCGTCCATTTAAAAAATGATAAGTCTATTAATTTGATTCACTTGTTGTGTTGCCATTATGATGAGTTGGTTGCGCTGTTGGAACTTTCAAAAATTGACTTTGAAGTTATCATACTCTCCGAAACACATACTATTTATGACCTTCAGGATTTCAAACTAACGGGTTATGACATATTTTTTAATGATAGTCAGATTAATAGTTACGATGGCATGGTAGTTCTTGTAAAATCTTGTTTAAATCCGACAGGAAAAATACTACAATATGTTCATTCAAAATTTCTCAGAATTACATTCAACAAAAACCAAAAAACTTTTAGTGTCATAGGAATTTACAACTCCCCCTCCCTAAATCGTGATCAGTTTATTATAAATTTAAATGCACTCTTAAGCTCGAATTCTTTAAACAATGATTTCGAAATTTTTTGTGGGGATATAAATATAAATATCTTTGGAACAGACTCCACCTGTCAAGATTACCTAAACTGTTTATATGAATTTGGATATAGAAAACAAATATATTCTATAACAAGACCTAGAAGCGGCACATGCTTAGATCACTTCTTTTTAAAAAGTAAAAACAATAATATCATGACAAAACCTACTGTTCTAAAAAATTATATGACTGACCACTTTCCTATAATCTTAAATATTGACACAACAAACAACGAGTCACATCCCTTAGATAATTCCTATAATATTAAAATAATTAAATATAAAAATATAGAAACTAAAATAAATCGAGAAAATTGGAACGATGTGACAACATGCCAAAATCCAAACCTAGCAGTGAATTTGTTTATAAATAAAATGACAAAGCTTATTGATGATTCCACAGAATTTAAAACATTTAACAAAAAACGGCAAAAGAAATCGTGGGTCACACAAGGAATTATTTTATCAATAAAAACGCGTGATAGACTAAAAAAAGCAACACTTTTAAACCCACAGAATAACGAAATCATTCAGAACTATAAAACATACCGTAATTTACTTACCAAAATAATAAAAAATGCAAAATTTACATACTTCAAAAATAAACTGAATAATGTAAAAAATGACATCAAGGGAACTTGGGAGGTAATACGAGAGGTCACAAATGAATCCAAATGTAGTAATAATATACAGTATATTTCTGAAAAGGGTGAAAAAATCATAGATAATAAAAAAAATTCAAATATATTTCTGGATTACTACAAAAATATGGGAAAAAATCTATCAAAAAAAATTAAGAGTAACAATTTTAAATTTCAAACCAAAATATCACCATCAAGTATTTTCCTAGCTCCAATTGAACAAAGTGAATTATACAACCAAATTCAGTCACTAAAAAATCGTGCTTCTTCTGCCCTTGATAACATTTCAACAAAAATTCTGAAGTCAAACAGTTTGGCATTGTCAAAACCGCTATTATACATAGTAAATCTTATTTTAGACCAAGGAATATATCCAGATGTATTAAAAAAATCAATAATAACGCCAATCTTTAAGACCGGGGTTAAAGATAATAAGGAAAATTACCGCCCCATAGCAGTCACGAGCACATTAAATAAGCTTTTTGAAAAGTGTCTTAAAATGAGACTGTGTGGCTACCTAGAAAAAAAAAATTACTGTCCGCGACACAGTTTGGGTTTAGATCTGGCATGAGTACTGAAAATGCATTACAAGGGGTTACAGATTTTGTAAATAAAAATTTTAATGAGGGGTACAAAACAATTGGGATATTTATAGATTTAGCGCGGGCCTTCGATACTGTAAATCATTCAATACTACTTCGAAAATTATGGAACTTGGGTGTTAGAGGCAAAGCCCATGATTTATTTAATTCCTACCTAAAAAATAGAATACAACAGGTAAAAATAAATGGTGAGTTTAGTGAGGAGGGTGAAGTAAATATTGGGGTGCCTCAAGGAACGGTTCTTGGCCCTGTGCTTTTTTTGGTCTACCTTAATGATTTAATGTCAATATTACCTGCTAATGATTGTGTCTGTATATGTTTTGCTGATGACAGTGTAATATTAATTAAAGCAAAATCATCATGGAAAGAACTGCACGAGTTGTCGGAGCATTACATATCTATTGTTAAGTTATGGATGGACCAGAACCGCTTGACATTGAATGAAAACAAAACACACTTTATATTCCTTTTTCTCTTAAAAATGTTAATAGATTGAATTTACCAGCCCTAAAAATACATACCCTTGAATGCCTACAGAAAACATGTTCATGCTCGTGCCAGCCATCAATTAACTCCCAAACAAATTGTAAGTATCTGGGAGTATACATAGACTCAAATTTGAAATACGATTCTCATATTGACTACATCGTTAAAAAAGTCAGGAAAACGATCTACAAATTTTATCAACTACGAGAATTCATGCCCTTAAAACTAATTAAAATAGTTTACCAGTCATTAGTGGAGTCTGTTTTGAGGTATGGAATAACTGTATGGGGTAGTACATATTCAAATGTACTTAACAACATTGAAATTTTACAAAAGTGCTTAATTAAAATTATTTATAAAAAGCCAAAAAGGCACCCTACTGACTTAATTTTTAGAGACTCTGGATTTTTGACTATCAAACAAATTTATGTAAGCAGTGTTATAAGGTATATGAAAAAATTTAACACATACAAAAATAATATAATTCACGGCATAATAACACGATTAATTACCTCTGAGAGTATGGTAACTCCGGGGTCAAGTCTAAGCGCTACTCAGCGACATGTAAGCTTCATAGGTCCACGTATTTATAATATTCTGCCACTCGAAATAAAACCCAAAAGTCAATTTTATATGAAAAAACTTAATGAGTGGATAAAAAATAACTGGAATAATATCAAACGTAAAATTTGCATACTATAAAATTAAAAAAAAAAAAAAAAAACAAAAAGAAATAGCCACTCCAAATTATATTTGAACTTATCTTATTTTTATTTATAATAATTGTTAAGAAGTTATATCTATATTTAAATATATTTAAGTTTGTTATCTTTCAAAATCAAATTTATATTAAAATATTGTTGATGGCTTTCGACAAGCTACTGCGTAGCTTAGAAAGCTGTACCATATGTGTGATATTGTATTGTTTGTTGTTAATAATAAAAAAAATAATAATAAATAATAGAATTAATTGTAAGACTGGTAAACTATTTTATATGATATATATGGGGCTCTTATTAGTTAAAAACCACGTGACCACTCTTAGAATTAATTGCAAGACTGGTTAACTATTTTATATGGTTAAGATGGGGCTCTTATTAGTTAAAAACCACGTGACCACTCTTAGAATTAATTGTAAGACTGGTAAACTATTTTATATGGTTTATATGGGGCTCTTATTAGTTAAAAACCACGTGATTACTCTTAGAATTAATTGTTAGACTGGTAAACTATTTTATTTGGTTTATATGGGGCTCTTATTAGGTAAAAACCACGTGACCGCTCTTAGAATTAATTGCATGTTAAAAATCGGGACCCTCCGATGGATCCCGGTTTTCTGTCGCGCGATTCCATTTGACTACTGAGTACGAAAACCTAGACCGTGTTGCCAATTGCAGCACATTGTCGTTGTGTTTCTATCTTTGTAATTTTATTTTTATTTTAATTTCTACTTAGATGAGAAAAATGTACAAGAATTATATTATTGGCTAATTACAAAATTTTTTACCACACCATTTTCAGTAAATGACAAACTGGTCATTTTCATTACAACCTATCAAATGTCCTCCGTGCATGCGCACCGGTCCAGGTAGGGTAGGTAATTAGCAAAAAAAATACATAGGGTATTTTTTCATAAGCCCCTATGTATGAAAAAAAAAAAACACCAAAATATACACATTAAATTTAAAATCTTCTAAATCATCATGCGAAATCACGTCGTGTTCGGGAGTGCAAATACGCAAACTGTTACGACAGCTTGGATATTCGCAATAACTCCGACATTTTAATCCTTGCAAATTTTTTTTTCCAAATTTCCTACTGCATATAGATTCATCTATTGATAAAAAAATATGCAGTTCTACTATGTCCTAACTGTATAAATAGACTTTGGGAAAATGCTGGTATTGTGCAGTAAACATGAATAAGAAATAGGTATTAGGATATCGATAACAACAGCTTTTACCAGAATTGTGTTAACTGATTTTAGTTCTGTTACCACATAAGGTAATAATCTGGTATTAGCTTCTTCTTGAGTACTATCTAATTTTTCCAAATGAAACAAAGTTCAGAATCCTGGAATCCACCTGTTATTATGACTGTTGTTTCGTTTATTAGGCTTTTTTTTCATGGTCGGCACACGGCACACACACAAAAGGAAAGTCCTATATCAACGACTGGAGTGTGTGTGGAGGTGTCGATGGACATTGGTCGCTGTAGGTTCTAGTTTTCGAGGAATATGTGACTGTGAAGTGCAGCGATGTTCTCGGTACAGCGATGTTCTAGGTATTTATAACTAAACTGTATGTTGATGAGCTGCTTGTGCCCGACAAGTGTTTCTGTTTGGTGCAACTTTGGGCGAAACCAGAAGTCCTAGCTCGTTCGAACACCTTCCGTAGTAGTATCGATAGTAAGTGATAGGTCCGCCACTTTTCACCGATGTTCAAGGCTTTGGAGGTCTTGGTCAACTCCGGGTCATCGATAAGACGGACTGCTCTCTTTTGTATCGAGTCCAACATCTTGAGCAAGTGTTTGGATACTGATCTCCATATATATTTGTAGTATTCCAAGGATGCTCTTATCTGGGCCTTATAAGAGCAGAAAAAGCTGAAATGGGGTATACAACTTCCTTATTCAATAAAAAGCCTCTAGCTTTTGTGCTGCTGTCTTGGCGATTTTGGTCACGTGGTTACGCCAAGGCGTGTTATTTTCCACGTTGATGTGCAATACGTTTATGGATGACGCCAACACCCAGTGTTGGTCCTGTCATTGTTATAGGTCAGATCCTGCAAGTTTTGCCTTTTTTGAGAAAATAGTTGCTTACGTCTTTCCTGCAACAATGATTATTTATGCGCAGTGTTGCTTTCCTTCTCCTAATGTTGTAGTTCTTAAATTGATACCATACTGATACCATCAATAATAAAGGAATCTACTTCCCGACAAGTCGCTAAAGTAGTGATAAATAACTCTTTTTTTTTTGCTTATTTCATTGAACCGCCATCATAATAATATAATAATATTTATTGTGAAAATTTATATGCATGGTGCATTTGCTCGAATAATCATGAAAATGCATCTACGCTCAAAAAACAGGCATATCCAGGGAATTGCGTCGCGCCGCGAAGTATTGCGAAGCTAACCGGAGTAGTGCATGGCCGCTAAAACTCTCAACTTCAAGTGACGATATCTTGAAAACTATGCATCGCGGAGTATCGCGGTTTTTTTTTCAAAAACTTCCTTGATGTATTAGCTTTGTTTCATTCGCTGAAAGTATGGCAGGAATCCTTGAAACAAAAAAGCTTCTAGCTTACTGAAAAAAAAAATGCATAAAAAGTCTAAGATAAAGTTTTACCTAGTTTTTCAGAAAAACATAATTATCTTAGTGCTTTTCGTTAACGTATTCTCTTCATAATAAGAAAAAATAAATAAAATATCTCAAGTAGTTTTGGAGATATCGCGAAGTATATGTGAAAAAGTATGAAAACCAAATTTTGACAAATCTATGACATTGATCGGCTTGATGACTTTCGAAAACTAAGAAGCAATATCAAATTACAAACAAAAATTGAATATGAAAAATATAAAGCAAATATTGAGCAGAACGTACACACAGATCCTCAAAGTTTTTGGAATTTCTTTAGGTCCAAGATCTCAGGCATACCAACAAATATGCAGCTTAATGGAAAAGAGTTTAACGATCAAAATAGCATAGCAAATGGTTTTGCAAGTTTCTTCCAATCCGTCTTCAGCTCCTCATCTCTACAGGATTTCACTGTAGATGAGTGTTCATATGGTAATATTAATTTGAGCACGATCAGTGAAGACATGGTCAGAAAAGGAGTAAAAAAATTGAAGCCTAAAAAATCTACAGGTATTGATAATATCCCCCCATGCATATATAAAGGTTGCATTGATTTTTTGGGGGAACCGATTTCTTATATCTTCAATTTATCAATACAAAGTCAAGTCTTTCCCGAAAAGCTTAAGGCAGCAGTTATTGTCCCAGTTTTTAAGGGCAGCTGTGAGGGTGTAATAAGTAATTACAGACCAATAAGTATATTGAACTCTCTGGCTAAGATATTTGATTCTATACTTTATGATGATCTTATGGAATCTATAAAAGGAAAAATTGTAAATGAGCAGCATGGCTTTCTCGCTGGAAAGTCAACTGTATCAAATCTATTAAAATTTACTACTCAAGCATTTGAAGCTATGAGCAATCATGCACAGCTAGATACAGTATATACAGACTACGCAAAGGCGTTCGATTTAGTAGATCACAGTATCCTGATCAAGCGCCTTGCAGAACTGGGATTTTCCAAACAGACCTGTTTATTCTTTATGTCTTATCTCTCTAACAGACTACAGAAAGTGAAAATAGGTAATTCATTCTCAGAACCGTATGTAGCTACCTCAGGGGTACCGCAGGGCAGTAGTATGGGTCCGTTGTTATTTATAGTATTTATTAACACTCTTGTTGACTGTGTGAAGCACTCATCTTGTTTGATATTTGCGGACGACTTTAAAATATTTAGGGCGATTGTATCTTTTTCTGATGTCCTTTTGCTACAGGAGGATCTGGTATCGGTTGCGGGGTGGTTTTTGGAGAATAAAATGCGCCTCAATGTGGATAAGTGTGTCACGGTAACATACACTAGAAAGCAAAATCCATTTGTCTTTGACTACAGTAGAAATGATTCAGTTCTCCAGAGAAGCCAGGAAGTAAAGGATGTACACATGCAAAGCAATTTAAAGTTCATCTCACATTATGATTTCATAGTAAATAAAGCTTATAAAAAATTGGGCTTCATCATTCGAAACGCCAAAAACTTTAAGCAACTGGGTACAGTTATAAAACTTTATAATGCACTAGTTAGACAGACTTTGGTTAGACCTCACCTAGAATATGCGACAGCAATATGGTCACCTAGGGCCCAATGTCATAGTGAACGAATTGAACGCATTCAAAAAAAAATTCTTCGCTTCCTGTACCTAAAGGACAATCCTTACCTGATTTCTTATCAAAGTATGTTGGATACATACGGATATCAAAAACTCTGTGATAGAAGAATGCAACACTCTGTGATTTTCATTTATTATCTACTAAATAATATCAAGTACAATAATTGTGCAATAATTAATGACATAAAATTTCATGTTCCTAAAGTAAATCTCAGGTGTCTGAATTATAAATTGTTTAGTATTAGAACATCTTTAGATTGTCCCCTGAATCAAATGCTAGAACATTGCAACAATGTGTTTACAAATAAAAATGTCGACTTCTTCAATATTACCTTTAGACAATTAAAGAAAGTAATAACTTGATATAAAAATATTGACATGGTTTGCCACTTGGCTTTTCTCAATGATTTATTTGATGTATTTTATTGACTTATTGATGTATTTTAATGTGTTTGCTTTGTTCTTTATTGATTCTATTTTAATTTATGTTTTATTTAAAAAAATGATAGAATGTGTAGATGTAGTGTTATACTTTGTATTAATTAATTTTAAGCTGCTATTGTGATTTGTGTAATTTACTTTTTATGAACCCGAGCCAGAAAGTGGCTTTGGTCACTAGTCTTATGATATAATTACCTCTTGTTAGGTGTTTTGTAAGACTTTAATTCAATAAATAAATAAATAAATAAATTTTTCGATACCTATAAAAAGGTTTCATGTAGTTAGTTAGGTATACCTTGAAAAAAAATATTGGAACATTTTTGCCGCTTTTTCAGTCTACGAAGTAGATAGTAGAATCAATTTTTTTAAATTTAAATATCAAAATTTTTCCATAAATTTTGTATAAAATAAATTCCTTGATCTAAATAAAAAATCTAAACCCGATTATTCCGATTGTGTGGATTTTATTTTTTAATTAAAATAAAATGAATATAATTAATGCACGGAAGTTAAAGAAATACCTATTTTTCTAATATTGTTTATTATTTCGAGAGACCTGTTTATCTTTCTGAATCTTAATAAGTAAATACATACTTTTATCAGTTATCGTGCGTTGTGCGCGGTATCGGCCGTAATAATATGGCAACTTTGCTCTCAATATCTCCACGGAAAGCGAAATAAATTCCGACAGCAGCGCCGCCTCTAGGTAAAAACACTCCGTAAACTTTACGCTTCTATTCATCGTATATTATTCTATGCTGGTTCCTAGAACGAACCTGAGATCCGATCTCAACAAGAAAGGGACCACCATTGTCTGGTTCCCTTGGGAGAGAATTGCGATAGATATCGCAGGTACTATTTCACAACAGATTCATGGAATCAGTACCTTATGGTATGGCATATGGAATATTTTTCAAAGTGACCAGAAGGAGTTCCAATCTTCAACCAAGAAGCGGTTACAGTTGCTGAACTATCACTGCAATGGATCTTCATTCCGATCTGGGGAGGAATTTTGAGTCCCAAGTACGGATATAACTGATAAGGTTACTGCGGAAAAGGAAAACAAGAACGACTCTACTGCATCAAAAAAACTATTTCTGAAAAATGTCAGGATGAAGATGAGACTCAACAAATAGCAGCCATGAAACACTTTTAATGGCAGCGACACTTTTTGATTGTTGTTGCATTTACAGCGAAGGAAGGGATTCAGCCCGAAATTACAATGACTGTGGGAAGAATCTTACCGGATCGTCAAAAGCATAAACGCTTTGGTGTTCATGATTCAACTTTCGTCAATGGTCAGGACAAAATTTGTTCTTGTAGGCTGGCCCAATACAAGGGCACAAAGACGCCGACTTGGAAGTGGCCAGGAGAACCTACTGTCTAAGGCAAGCAGCTCTGCGGAATTGGGCAGTATTATAAATCATGCAAGATGCAAGGTGCGGCTCTGCCAAATTTTGTTTGTTTTTTTTTAGTTGGGGTCATTGTGCGTGCGCAAGTCTCAACACCCTAGCACATGAAATAACCGAGACGGCTCTCAATTTTTTTAGTGAAATAATTATTCATTATAAATATTTATTCAAAACAAAACAAAATTCCAATATAATACCTATAAGAATGCCTGAATATACATTGTTGCAGAAAAGCATATACCTACGTTAATTTCCTTATGGGTTTTTTTTTTCATGCAGTTGTTCTTTCTTTGAATCTTTGAACATCTGATCATTAGGAAATGCATAATTTAGAACAAGTTTGTTAATATTAGTTAATTTGAAATCTATAATGTGAATCATTCTCAATTCGAGACTCAAAATGTGATGAGAAAACAAAATTCGCTATAATATGGGGAGTATATTTCTGCAAGCATTGCATATGCATAATATATCCAATCTAGTACCTATTAAACTATGTATTTATAACTTTAATATAATAATAATATTGAAGATCATTTTTTTAACAAACAGATAATTTTTCAAACAAAACAAATATTAATATGAAATACTGATAAAAGTAATGCGTGATGTATCAAGATAGTACCTATTGGCTAAGTATACCTGATACAACAGAGACTACTAACTTTTAGTTAGCCAACTAGATAACAATAATTAGATATATAGCTAAAATATATTTTGGTATGGTGTTTTTTTTTTATGAAGTCAGACAAATTATCCACTCTAGCTAATTTGATACCGGCCATGGATATCCCCGTAGTAGTCATGAGCTTCATAAGTATCGGGATAAGCGTAAGCTGTGTCGTAGTCGCCGTAATAGCCTGCTGTTGATTTGGGATAACCTAGAATTAAAAAAGCATACTTTATTTCTCTATCCACAGCAATACAGGAAGCAAAGTTTCAAAAAAATGCAGCAAATACGGAAATAATATCAATTAACAATGACAAAGTCCACCAAAAACCTTTCAGCTGAAAAATCCTGATTGGCGCCCACGTTTTCCTCGTCAGACAATTAATGCAATTTGTATTCCTACAATATCAGATGCAATTGTTTCAGATTTAATCCTTTTCACCAGGGAATGGGCAAATTTAATCTAAAATCCGGGTGCTGCTGAGTAAATGTCAGATTACTTTGTGGTTAATATATTTTAAATGTCAAGTATAACTCGTATTTGTAGATGGTAATTCATAATAAAGTATCTCCTTATTATCGAATCAACCAACTAATTAAACACGTGGATATTTTATTTCATCAAAAAGGATATAGTTAAGATTACTCGCGGTCATACTCAAGGGAGAAGTTGGCTATACCTTATTCATTTTGAAAAAAATCAAGTTTTAAAAATACAGAAGGTGGTTTCTAGATTTTTTTACAGCTACCTTAATAAGATAAATTGCTATTCATATAAAACCTCTACCTAATTTAAAGTAGCATAATTTCGACCACTTATTTTATGCAAAATCAATTAGTGATAACAAAAAAAACTAACCCACTGAAAACGAAACAAATAAATTATTTATTAATTCCCAAAACACATTATACGTTTCACAACACAATAGTCGGAAATATTTTGATCTGGCATTCGGGTGGACCAATTTAATTGAATAATTATTGTCTCGTGAAAAGATTAACTTAATGTCAAGCAGCCGTATTTACGTGAAGTCCTTGATATTTAGAAAATTATTAATTCCTTGTCAAAATGAAATTAGCTCTTTAAGGTGTTGCAATTTTGTGTTAAAACTATTGAATTTCTTTTCTATCATTTTAGATAGGGTTTTGAATAATAAGTACTTAACTTAACTACATTAAAAACTGTTACGAGTGTGTATTCGTTTATGAGTGAGACTTTATCAAACTTACATAAATTACATCTAAGACCAATATCTTACTAGAAAACGCAGAATCAAATCACTATAGCTAATCGCCATAGTTTTAAATTCGCAACTCTTCTCAACTTGGTCTACGTTCAATTCAAAACTGCTTCTTGGCCATGTTGAGAAGTCGAGAAATTACTTGAAATCTCCTATACATTGCCGGTAAGATTGTTCATTCAAGGCAGAACTTCTCGAATATTCGAGTCACTATGCATACAATGGTCGATCAATACGTAGGTACGAGGTACGACATTTTTAAATATTATTTTGAAAAACTACCCCCTTTCTCATAATAGGGCTAGGCTTTCCACATCAACGAGTTTTCGCTTGGCCTGAACTTTGTAATTTAAGCCTAAATCATTGAAATGTTCAATGACGTTTGTCTTGACAGGACACTTTCCAAAATTCACCGGTTTCTGAACCGGTGCGATACCGGTTTAATAGTTTACTCACCAAACTGTTCCAAAATGTACCGACTTTTTACCGGTTGAACCCGATCGTTCGTTCCAAAATTGACCGAAATGATCAGCTGTTTGAAACCGGTGAGGCACCGAATCCACCGGGAATTTTTGTCGGTTTTTTCGGTTGGAGTTTTTTTGACGTACATTAATTTAATTTGAATGGGTACTATTGGCAGTCTAACGTTAAATTGCTGCTTGCAGATTGCAGAATAAAACATTGTTTGTGCATGGGCGTCATTATGAACTCGACAAATCAAATACTCAGCTCACATAATCTACAAAAATCGTACTGAAAACTACCGTTTGTTGACTGTTAAAAATAATAAAAATACATACCAACCTCACTGCATCCCACAAAAAAACCCATTCCAAAAAATAATAAGCAACACCACCAAACTTTGACACCAAAGCGTTCCAAAATGCATCAGAAAAATCTTGTAACCGGACTTGCATCTGACTTTTACCGGAATTTTTTGACAGCTACCGGTTTATTTAACCGGTCAATTTATCGGTGAAATTTGGAAAGTGCCCACATTCGAATAAGAGTTCCATTCTGTCACTGTTCAGATGCCATCTATTCCTGGCAAAATCGTTGAGTCACCCTGAGCCTATCCTGGAGATACGACAGATCAACTGGAAGTGCAGCTTCGTTTTCATTGGCCGGTGGTCTGCCAATCATATTAGATCTACAGCAAGCTCCATTTCTTCTCAAGTCAACAACATTGTTGGTGTATACTGGAAGATTCTAAGCCAACGAGAAAAGGGGAACCAGTTATCTCAGTCTAGCTGGTGTTCAACCACAAATGGCGAAAAGTATTGATTCAGTCTCGCGACCATTCCACGGGCTGTGGATGAAGTTGGGGTGTCGTTCTCGATTGCCCTAATCCCAGTTACCTGGTAGACCTGATCAGTTGTTCCTATATGGACTCGAAATTTCTTCTGTGATCGGTATAGGTCTCAAATTCCATCGGTACCGGTATGGCACTAGAGCAAAGCATCTGAGGCAAGGGGGGAGGTGAAAACGATATCTAAATGGAATGGAATGGAATAGAGAGTGATAAACATATAAGTTCGCAATGCTCGCATATTTCCTGCAACTAAATTCTTGCTAGCCGTACTTCATCCAGCGCAGACAAGTATTGCTTTATTTCTCTACGTGATGAGGTCCTGGAAGCATAGACGCCACATCTCTTGTACCATTCCCCAACATCTCCCCTATGACACTTGATCCAGTGAAACCGATTCAGGCATTAGACTTTTCTAGAACCATGATACTGTGTTTGCCTAGGATAATAAAGATTTCTCAATCGAGCCAGCAAACTATTGACTCTGAAGTGACCTCTTTTCCGACTACTCACAGTTGCGGTTCACCTACTTGGCCCTTGGCCCTTATCTGTTGAAAACAACCTTCCTTGGCGATGTTCGATTTGGACTTTGGACGTCGTAACTTTGTAATGTCCCCAAACACCACGTCATTGGAATCAAGCAGTCCCTGCATGTCATGAGTTCGGCATAATGCAGTAGTAAGAAGGTTTGGAATGGGCTTTGCGTTACTCAAATAATTCCAGATCGAGATAGCGCTAGTAAGGGCAGAAAATCTATTGGATCTCTTGGATCTCTCACTCTAACCTTGAGTGAGATAGCGCTAGTAAGGGCAGAAAATCTCACAGATCTCTCCAGTTTTCTCACTCTAAATTTGGCCGCAAATATACGTATTGAGTGAGATAGCGCTAGTAAGGGCAGAAAATCTCACAGATCTCTCCAGTTTTCTCACTCTAAATTTGGCCGCAAATATACGTATTGAGTTGATAGGCAAGGGGTCATTCCAAGCCTTCTTACTACTTCATTGGTTCGGCGACACCCAAACCAGGTACCCATGAGACCCGAGTAATGTGCACAGGGAAACACAGGTCAATGCTTTGAGCATGCTATCTACAAACGCAGAGACAAGGTTGAATGCAACTTGCACCACTTGTTGAGGATCTACACATCCTGATAGCTATCGGGGATGGTAGCCTGCTCAGTACAAGCAACCTAGGACTGCTATATCAGAGGAGTAGTAAGAAAACCAGCAGTTCCTGTAACGCAGTCACAACACCGAAAGTTCCCTGTCTTAACTACAAGAAAATATGATTAAATCGATCAAATCCATTACATTAAAAGGATCATTACTTTGTATGTCTAATTCGATTACTTTGTATCTCTTTACTGGAAAAAAGGCGCGCGTAGTGCGGTTTTTTAACCACAACTAACTCAAAGTAACCCATACTAGCGCAAACTAACCGAAACTAACCCAGTGTAACCGAAATTAAACCAAACTAACCGAAATCAAAAACATGAAAAACGTTTTCAGATATAACACCTTTCCCTTGAAATTCAAAATATTTTTGAGTCTAACTGACCGTCGGAAATGAATTGAAAATAATTCCCAAAAAACGCCAGAAAGTTGAGAGCTACTAGACTAGACTAGACTTCAGAGCGATAAGAAAACCATCAACCTTACAACCTGGCTCTGCAGGAGGCCAAGATGGGAGTATATGTATATGAAATCAAAAGTTATTTACGTGCCCTAATTGATTTGAATTCTTAATTCATACCATGCCACTGTCATTCACTCATCCCTCAACTTTACTATCTCACCAATAACTCACCTTACCCTCACTTCCCTTATCTTCTTTTTTTTCAAGACCTTATCTTTTATCTTTTCTGTCAATATCTTTCAATACCTTTATAATTTCAATATCTTTTTATTCTCTGAATTAATTATTTGGCTAATTTATAGGCGCTTTTCGCTCTATTGGTCGAGGGGGGTGTGCTTTGATTTTAATTAAGTTTAGCTTCATACAATTTTTTCTAAAAGAAATTATATCTTGAATTTTTTTTTCTCAATTTTCTATAAGTTTTTTTTTTTTGAAATTTAGAAGGTTATTTATCTTATTATTTTTTATTTGAACGGTTGAATTACAATTTCTTGACTTAAATGGCTGTTTTTGTTTTCCTGACTACCTTGTTGCTCTATTATTATTATTATTATTTTTTTTTTTCAACTTCTGATCACTTTCTTTTTATGTGTCCGGTAGGTAATACTATGATGTAGTACAAAGTTTCTACACATAGATTACTGTACCATTTTTAAAATATGATTGACACTTTTTGCCGAATTTTCTAAGCAGATTTTGCCTCTAGCTTTGTTTTTTTAAGTACAGTTCAATTTTTTTGTACATTGGAAAATGTACTGGCGCCCAAATTATCTTTTCCCTTTGTTTTTTTTTTATCTCTAAGGACCAAATTATGGACTGACTGGTAAACCTCTGGTTGTTACCTAGCAGGTACTCTCTATGCACTAGAGAATAGGAAGTACCTGCTAGGTAACAACCAAACACTTACCAGTTGGTCCATAATTTGGCCCTAATACATACATAATCTTTTCCTATAATTAACCTTTCTCATTATAAATGTAGAACCAAATGACCAACAGTTTTCTTTCATATTGTTAATTCTTAAAA